CAGGTCTTTAACCTGCAGGTATGGGGCAGATGCGGCCCGTCGGGCCTTGCCGCGCTCCGCCGCGCTCCGCCGCGCTCCGCGTCCCTCCCACGCGGGGTCTGGGACCTCAGGTTTACCGCGGCCTCCGGGGGCGCCTTGCGGCCTTCTCCCCGGACTCTACGGGAAGGGAACGGCTTTCGGCTGGCCCTGGGCCCTCGCTCGTCATTCCGTCGGGTCTGTGTCGCTTCCGCCACCGTTCGGGAGGAGCAGTGCTCAGCTGAGCGTCCTCTGGCAGCCGTGGCGTCCTGGCCGCTGCAGTGGCTCCTGTTTGATTCCCGCGCTGTATGTGCCGTAGGCAGGGCTGGAGTAGTGGCGGAGGGTACGGTGAGATGGCCCAATGAGGAGAAACTGAGGGTCTGCAGTGCAGGGGAGAGCCCCAGGAGCGCCGAGTGGGTCGGTGACACTAAGTACTTCCGAAGGCTACCCTTTGCAAGTTTCAGTAATTCTCTGTCAGGGCACGAGGCTTTGGGGACTGAGGAGAGGAAGAGGGACAGTTCAGCATCCAACTCAGCTCCTTCAGTAGTGACAGGTCTGTACTGCACCCCCTCCAGCAACAGGTCACACCTGTTCCTGCCGAGTACAGCAGGAGACTTCAGCTCAGACACCACTTTATCAGCTTGTGTGAGGCCTGGTGTGATACCCTCAACAGAGTCCCCGTTTGGGCTCAGGAAATCTCGGGGCGTGGTTGTTATATTATTTGCTCTGTGAGTAGTTTTTAAGTCAATCTCGCATTTTCCTTTCAAAATAAAGAGCTTGAAAATGAGTTTGCTTGTCCTACTGGGACTTCTGGCCCACTTGTGTTTTATCTTGTCTGGGAGAGTTAAGTGAGAAATGCAGAGTGCAGCCTTACAGTGCAGCAAGACACAAATTGTTCTGTTCCACCAGCTGGAATTACATTTACCTTTGTAATGCTGTTTTCTAAGGAGTCTGTAATTGAGTTTTTACTGCAGTAGGCAAGCACAGCCTAAACAAGCTAACCTTGGCACTTAGTGTTTGTGATATAAGAAAAGATAGAAGGTAGATAAAAGTGGAAAAAGTAACGCTCTTAGCATATAGTGAATTACATGTTTTTATGCACAGTTTACCTGAGGGGTGATCTAGACAATCAACATTTCCTCTGTGCCCTTCCTTCCTGCCTCCCTCCTTCCCTTCAGGAAACGGTTATTAAACTAGGGAACAAATTCTCTTGTTTTTACTTCAGATTTAGGGAGATTTCAGTGTTGAGATGTGTATTTGATATGTACCAGTTTGTGAAAAAATAAGACCCCCAGACTGTGGATGAGTGTAATTTTTAGAGATAGGAAATGTGGATCTACCCTATTCCTTCTCACAAAAAAAACAAACAAACTATCAACCCAGTCAAAAAAAAAAACACCCTCAGTCTTTAATTTCTTATCAGACAGTAAAATCAGTAAAAATATGGAAATAATCAGAGGTGTATGGGGGCAAGGTGGTTGGCAGGTCTTTTTTGAGATCCACTTTTACAATTTACACCAAATCAAGCTTATATAATATGTGCACAAAATCGGCATTCTATAAGAAGACATTCAGCTAAGTTTTCCTCACTTTAAATGGATAATTACTAGGAGGACTATTCAACACACTTTGACTGGGAGGTGAGAAAGGATTTTGTGCCAGCAGACCAGTTAGTTTGTGGAATGGGATAGCAAGCTGGTCTTACTGGGAATACATGCAAGGGCTGGAACAATGCAGCTGTGATGAAGCCAGTGCATGGGTGTGAGTCCTTATGGCTCAAAGCAGTGCAGGATGTACTGGGAGAATAAAATTTGTTGTTTCTCTGAAAGAGGCTCTGTCTGAGCAATTGGACTTGAAAACTGGTAAGATAGTTCAACTAATGGGAGGTTTCTGCGGTGCAGACAAATTATTCCTTGCTATATTGGAAACTCTGAAATTGTCATTCTGAGTTCTATTCCTTGTGGTTTTTAATACTTCAAAGAAGCATAACAGTTTTTGCCTCTTTTCTCCCCAAAAATATTCTAAGCATTAAAGCAATTTTGAAAGGTTGTGGTGAGTTTTTTGGTATATTTTGCCTTTTAGAAGTTCTTGAGCTGAGTGTTAACACCTCCTCTTGCTCAAGGAAGAGAAATGGAATGCATATGCGTACCTCAGGTACTTTGTAGAAGCAGATTTATTGGCCTCTTCACTTTCTTTGCTTGATAATTTACCAACACAAATAAACTGCTCTATGTGAATGCTAAGCCATGCTGCTGCTTGTGTTATACTAAGCATCATGCTGGCTGGTGGTGTTGCTACTGAAAAATCCCGAGTATATCAAAAGACTGAGGTGTGCTTTTTAATTTTTAAAATTTAACACATATTTAAGCAAGTCCTTAATAGATTGAATATCATAGTTATTTCCTGCTCAAATATAGGATGTGCACTACTTTTGATCTCATTTTGCTATTTTAGGGTGCAGTAGAGCCCATGCAGATTGACGTAGATCCACAAGAAGATCAGCAAAATTCACCTGATATCAACTATGTGGTGGAGAACCCCACGCTGGTATGTGCTTCTGAGGGCTGTGGGTATAGTTCTTATGTGTGGTCTCTTCCTTTAAGAATTTTGAAAAAAATCCCCTCTGAAAAATCATAAAGTGAAATTCAAAAAAAAGTAAATTGTAGTGTAGAGCGTATTTCTGAGAAAATTACTTAAGTTTGAAGAAAGTAGACATGGACCTGGGGTTCAGGTCTGCAGGAAAACCTGTGGAGATCACAGTGAAGTAGCCTGATTTAGTGTGTCCATTTTCACCTTCTGAGGCCAGGTTTTGTTGGCAGGATTTGGAGCAGTATGCGTCCAGCTACAGTGGGCTGATGCGAATTGAGCGGCTGCAGTTCATTGCTGATCACTGCCCACAGCTGCGGGTGGAAGCTCTCAAGATGGCTCTGTCATTTGTCCAGAGAACTTTCAATGTTGATGTCTATGAAGAAATCCACAGAAAACTGTCTGAGGCTACGAGGTACTAAGAGGCCATGGGAACCTGGGGAGCTTTCCTGACAGAGTTAAGAGTGATGTACCACAGTGGAGAACTTTGCATGTAATACCAGCATGTACCTTACACAAATTGTCTTTGCCTTAGAATTTAATAGCAGGGAAGGCCTTATCTCATTCTGAAATCTTTATGCTTTAAAAAGCTGCAGGTAGATATTGAGGTGAGTTTAGTCCTTGCCACTGCCTGAAATATTAATGAACATATTAGTTTTTCCTGAGGTAGATTATGGAGATGTATTCTAGATGTTTTTGTTTTCATAAGTTAAAACCTAATCTAACTCTTTGCCTTGTTTTGGTTTGATTTTTCCTTCCTCCCCCCTCTAAAAACAGATGTGCTGTTAAGGATAACCTTTGATATCTTACTTATCCATCCATGCTTCCCATCTTTGTGTTATTTTTGTTGCTATGCTTATTTTATGTTTTCTTGTCTGTTTGGCATGGGGAGTCTTTATCATGCGTGTGAGAGTATGTTTGTCCTAAGATCATTAGATAATTCTGTGAAGTATTTGTAAATATCTGTGATGCTTGTGCTAGTATTTGCACTGGAGCAACCACTACCTTTATTTTCTCATTGGTCTATTTTATGTATGTGGTACTGTTTGTTAGGGTAACAGTGCCAGGCACTTAGCAGACCTCTGTTTTGAAACTTTTTGAGCCTAATAGCCTCATTCAATACTTTCCTTTCAGAGAACTGCAAAATACACCTGATGCTGTCCCTGATAGTGGAATTGAACCCCCTCCTCTTGACTCAGCTTGGGTTGAAGCTACACGCAAAAAAGCTCTTCTTAAACTGGAGAAACTTGACACAGATCTGAAAAATTACAAAGGGAACTCCATCAAGGAGAGTATCAGGTGAGATGCAGAAGGCTCTGCTGGAGCCAGGAAGAGCATTTTGCTCCTCTATGCACTTAACATGGGATGTTCCCTTAGGCTAGTGTGCTGAGTTACTTGTTTAGAACAAACTGACTTCGTCCCTTTCTGAGCATACAGTTCATTGATGTTTTCATTCCTATTCTCCAGGAGAGGCCATGATGATTTAGGTGATCATTATCTGGACTGTGGAGACCTCAGCAATGCTCTTAAGTGTTACTCGAGAGCCCGTGATTACTGCACCAGTGCTAAACATGTCATCAACATGTGTCTCAATGTTATCAAGGTAGGAAGATTTGCAGGCAGAGGTACCTGGTGTCTTTGTGATGCCTGCTGTGAAGTTGCCCCCCATCCTTGGCTCTTGTGTCTGCAATGATGCAGCTTATCTAAGGAGTGCCATTTATCCATGCCTGCCCCACACTGTTTCTGACTCTCTGCAGGTCAGTGTCTACCTCCAGAACTGGTCTCATGTTCTGAGCTATGTAAGCAAGGCTGAGTCTACACCAGAAATTGCAGAAGTAAGCTCCTGCTCTTTAACTTGCATATATTTTCCCTTAGTTTTCTGTTTCAAAAATTTGTAAAGTGGTTTCTTCCTTTCCTCCTTTATGACTTCTCTCATGATGTATGGGTACAAAATCTGGTTCATGGTAAAACTGGATACTTCCCGTCCTCGGTTTTGCTTTATTTCCCAAGACAAATAAGATTGAGTTATTGGGCCATTGAGATTGGCAAGTTAATTATCAGGGTGAAATATCCTGGGGACAATAGTAAGCAAAATAGCTTTCGTACTGCTTGCTCACTACTGCTTTGTTTTATGCTCTAGCAAAGAGGAGAAAGAGATAGCCAGACACAAGCAATTCTCACCAAACTGAAATGTGCAGCAGGTGAGTGAGTCCTTCAGCTTCCTGTATAGTTTGCCTGTCTTTCTACCTGTTAGCTGTCCGTAGGGCTCTTGGGTTTGTTTTTTCTCTCGTATTTGACAGACTTTGTATTTCCGCACCAGACATGCAAAATTTAATGAAGCTGATGAGATAGAGCTGCTGGTTTTTGCCATCTCTTTCTTCTCCCTGAGTTTCTTCAGAGAGGATACCTGTGTGAGTGAATGTAGTTCAAAGGATGCTTGATGCAGTCTGAGGATCTTGTTTCACTTCAGTAGTGAAGGCACTAGCGGCCCTGTGGGGGCCTTTCCTGTTCCCCAGATTTCAATTTGCCCTGATTTGTATACTGTCATGACTTTTTCTGGTTCCTAGGCTTGGCCGAACTAGCTGCCCGGAAGTACAAACAGGCAGCAAAGTGCTTCTTGTTGGCATCATTTGATCATTGTGATTTCCCTGAGGTGAGGACCAAGAGGCAGCTGTGTGCAAGTCTTGGAGGGGATGTAGTTCTTCTAAGTATTAGGTTGTAAAATTCAGATATTGTAGTTATTCTCGCAGCATTCCTTGAACTGTTCTGTTTGGTTGGGGTTTTTTGTGGTTTGGTTTTTTTTGTTTGTTTGTTTGTTTTTTTTTAAAGTCTCTATTCTTGGCTTTTCTAGATGTTCTACTCTAGATCACATAAGAGTTAGCTGTGATAATGTTTATGTTATATACATATATATATATATATGTGCATATATATATATTTGTATATGTCTATATTATATTAGTTAATATGTTAGTTTATAATTCTGTGTTGCTCAATCAACCAAAATTTCCTGAAACTGGTGTCTGCTGTCTTAGCAGTGTTACTGCTCTGGCCCTGTCACCCCCACACACTGTGGGTGAGAGCAAGCTGGGTGCTTCCACTGCATTTGACAAGGACTGATCTTGTCACTGCATGAAAGAAAGGCCTGGGGTAGAAGACTCAATGCCACCCTTAGGCCATTTTGGTAGTCAGTGACAGCTAGTTCTGTCTCTCCCTCTCTCTGTAGCTGTTATCTCCCAGCAATGTGGCTGTGTATGGTGGGCTCTGTGCCCTTGCTACATTTGACCGTCAGGAACTGCAAAGAAATGTTATCTCCAGTAGGTGAGTGATGCCTTGAGTGATGTTTGTATGTACTGGACATCTTTTAGAACATGGGACTTTGGTTAAGACTTGATTCTGGCCACGAGTATTTTTCATACAGGAGAGATGAAAGAACCACTGAACCTTAGTTTGGCTTTAGCATTAAACGGTGTTTCACAACACAGTGGTAAATCACAGCTGAAATTTTCTTAGTATAAGTTTCCCACCCAGGTTAAATCCAGCATCTGCATAGCCCAGTTGTGTGTCTCCATCAGTAGTTCATATCAGGTATTAAATTGGGGGACACAGCCCTCTGTCAAAGGCAGCTGTTAGGATAACTTGCCTTCATGTTGCCCCTTGTTCTGGTGTATGTTAATTGTTAAAACAATTTAGTAATTATTTGTACACCTTGGAGTGTAGTCTATGACATACAGAAGATTAAGAGATGTGTGGTCTTTGGAAGAAAGTGGATATTTGTGTGTCATATATTGAATTGCAATGACACCGAATTCCTGCCAGCTAGCTGTACAGAAGCAGTAATCTTAAATTGCTGTGGAAAAGGGGTTGTTACCCTTTTTTATGGGTTGATATGTAGGGTGAGATCCCAAGATTGAAAAATCTATAACGGAGAATTGGGAGTGTGCTGAGTAAAAGTGTACATCCCTAAGATTTACCACACTCACAGTAGGTTGTTTCTCTGAGAAATTGGCAATGCTTGACTTGTCTATGGCAAGCTGTACTTAATGAAGGCTGTGCTTTGAAAGGGGGCACAGAGCTGGCGAGCACAGATTACAGTATGACATTTGTTAGCTGGTGATGTATCCTGATTTTGACCTATTCACATTCATCATTTTGTTTTGTGTGGACAAACACTTCTACTACTTGGTTTGTCAAAAGTCTTTTGTCTTCCTTCATCACATCTCTGGTGCTGTGCTCTGTCTCTGTGTTCCAGTCTGTCTGGTCGGTTAGAGGGTAAATTCCTGGAATCTTCGAATAATAGTGAGAGTTTTTAACCTTCCGATGAGTGATGGGATTATGGGGTATTTTAGTGGTGGGTTCCAGTGTTTGATCTTATGGGGTATTTTAGTGGTGGGTTCCAGTGTTTGATCACTGCCATCTTTATCTGTAGCTCCTTCAAATTGTTTTTGGAGCTGGAGCCACAGGTTCGTGACATCATCTTCAAGTTTTATGAATCTAAATATGCTTCATGCCTGAAGATGCTGGATGAGATGAAGGTGAGTTGCAGGAGAGCAGTGCTGAGCAGACTTTAAAAGTTCCCTCTGCCTGGCCTTTTGTGAGAAGCAGTGATACTAAATGTTCAGCTCTTCTGTGTCTCCTGACATGGTGCATGGAAACCGGGAGTAGTTTATTAGTAGAGAGAAATTATAAATGTTTTAAACAAATTCCTAATTATTTTATTCATTCTTGTTTTATCGTTTTGTCTTGCTGCAGTGTAATACTCTTAAGGTTTAAGTATATATGCAGAAATGTTTCAGAACACAGGAATAACATAGTTTTCCAGATTGCTTCTCAGCTTCTGATGTGGCTTATTGTTTTGCACAGGACAACCTGCTGCTAGATATGTACCTTGCACCTCATGTCAGGACACTTTATACCCAGATTCGAAATCGTGCCCTTATCCAGGTAATTGTTTCTGTCATCCCAGAGGTGGATAAACAGGGAGATAGGCCATCTCTTTGCAATTGCTTTTCTCCTGGTTTCTTAGAGGGGGGAGACTGCCCTTGGCAACTCAATATTTTCTTCTTCTTAGTACTTCAGCCCCTATGTGTCAGCAGACATGCGCAAGATGGCCACTGCTTTTAACACCACAGTGGCTGCTCTGGAAGATGAACTCACTCAGCTGATCTTAGAGGGACTGATAAATGCCAGAATAGACTCGCACAGTAAGGTGAGTGCAGTTCACCCGTGGGTTAAAGACTGAACAGGTTTCCTAAGCTTATAAACAAACTCTCCATTCCTGAGACATTTGGAAGGTGCATTCATCTTTTGGGTCTGGTGTGTTAGGTAGGGGTGAGCTGTGTTTGACTTCAGACTCCATAATGCCTTAGCTGTTTTCCTTCTGTGGAACCCTGGCATAACTCCCATGTACTGCTCTGTATTGGTTACAGATTCTGTATGCTCGAGATGTAGATCAGCGCAGCACAACTTTTGAGAAGTCTTTGCTAATGGGCAAGGAGTTTCAGCGCCGTGCCAAAGCAATGATCCTGCGAGCCGCAGTCCTGCGCAACCAGATACATGTCAAGGTATGGGCATGCTAAACAGGGACTTAAAGGCAGTGTTAAGATTTTAATGTGTTTTTTTTAACTAAAACTGTGAAAGTTGGTGAAGTGAAGATGCTGGAAGGGAATGAATCTATCATGTTCCTGATTGGACAAATTCTTACAATAGTAAATACTAAATAATAAGGATCAGGTGTTTCTAGCCAGTACATTATTAACCTGCTTGTACAGCTCAGAATCTTCTTTGAAGTTTATATGGTTGGGTTAATTCTGAATAATTCCTTTGGTCCAGTTCTCGATAGACATATCTTTTACCTTCTCAGTAAAGATCGTTTGAAGTAATTTTTTAAGCAGAGGAAGTAAAAAATGCATTAATTGTTAGGAATATTCCTCCTGGAATGCAATTTCAAAAGGATGCCTTTAGGGAAGATAGGCCATCTGCACAGAATGTGTTAATTTCTATAGTATATTAATCCCTGTGATTACTAAATGCCAGATAGGATTCAGTTTCTGAAGTCAACAGCACCTTGTACATAGTAAATAAGAGCAGCTTAAGAGCTCTGGTTTGACTTTTTTAGGAAAAGATTTTGTGAGCTGTAGAAGTTGTTAATACAAAACTATCATTAATGAACCTGAGGCTATGCTCTCCCCCTACTGCCATCCTGCTGTGCTTCACCTGTGCTTTATTTTGTCTCTCAGGAAGCAGGCTGCAGAATATTTACACATCACTAACTAGGATGTGTTTTGGTCTTGTTGCAGTCTCCTCCGAGGGAAGGTAGCCAAGGGGAGCTCACTCCAGCTAACAGCCAATCCAGAATGAGCACCAACATGTGAAAAACTACATGTACTACCAAAAGAAATGGTCCCTCAGGACTGTACCCAGTGTCTCACCCAGTAACTGCTGAGCTTCACAAATTGTCCCGATCTCCCTCACTTCTTGCTCGGATTGAGAGTCAGGGTTGGTGGTGGATAATATGAATATTTCAGTAACTTCAATTTTCCTTGAAAAAAAATTATTTTTAAAAGCAGCATCCCTGCAAAAGGCTCATCATTTCAGTTTGGTAGAAAACCTTCACTCTCCTTCACTCCATAAAGAGCTTTCAGGTTATTTATACAGATGCTGAGTTGAGAGTTTTTCAGCTGCTATTAGTTTTCTTGTTTCAAAGCTGCAAAAATAGTTGAATGGACAGGCATGATACAAGATGAATTTTGCTGGCCTGAAAGTACTGCCTTGATTTTGAGCAATGCTGAGCTTTCTGTTTCCCAAATAAACTTACAAGTGCATTGCTCTCAATTATGGAGCTAGAGTTCTGATGGGGGAGATTTCCTTTGAGGAACTCTTGGAAAATTTTCACCTGTACCAGAAAACATGGCATTACTTCAGTGTGTTCAGTCACAGGCCTTTATTTTAGGGTTACGTGTTTTCCTCTTGTGTGTGACCTGGCTTTGGGGTTCAGTGTTATCATAGCAGTAAATCTCTACTTCATGCAAATATTATTGCTTGCCCATTCTTACTACCATAGTGTGTGATGGTTTCCCCACATGTGCAACAGTTGTTTTGAGAAGAATGGATAAATGCCATAAAACACCAGTCAAGTCTTGTGGAAGCGCTAAGAAGAGTCAGTCTAGGTGCCCACTCTCCATGTGCATTTATTCTGCTTTTCCTTTTATAAAGGGGTTAAAGATGGCAGCCGTGTGTGTGCGTGCGTCTGTGTGTGTGTTCTTCCTGTGTTCATGAAAGGAGATACGCACTGAATTTTCTGATGTAACTGCAGCCTTGTATTCATCTAATTCATAAGGCAAGCTGAGAATTTTGGTCCAGCCCTGACTGGTCTGACAACTGACTACAGATGTTACTTTTAATGTGTTCAGGCTTTTTTTAAAAAAAAAAATAAGTTGTTATATCTAGTGCATTAAACAGCAGGATTGAAAAGCTTCTGAGTATTTGGAGTTTTGTGTTAAAGTTGGGTTTTAGGTATTTTGATCTCAAGCCACTGATTTTTTGCTAAGCCTCATGATGTTTCATAGGCGATTGTGGTTTTTTTCTGATATGGTTGGAGATGCAGCTTGGATGAACTGTGAAAAAAGTGCAGTTTGAAGGAACATTCAAACAGCAAAATTCCTGTAGCAACAGTGGTCTGTCCTGGCTTTCAATGCTTTTTAGGACTTAGGTGCTGAAAATGGAAGCAGCAATTTCTGTGAGGTCTTCAGTTACATTTGGCATGGAAAAATTCTCCCATTTTTGAGGGAAGAACTTAGTGTCGAGCATCACTAATGGCCAGTTTAGTGAGAAAGGCAAGTTGAGTCCTTGGGTAAATTGCTGTATATCCTTATAAGAAATGCAGGGAAAGTACTGTTACGCTTTCTGTCCATGCTGAAGGAAAGCTATTTAGTCCGAAAATGCTACTCAAAACATTCTTAGTTTCTTCCCCACATGGGCCAGTGATTCTATTTATAAGGAAAAGATCTTGCACTCTGCTCTTCAGAGGATGTTTTCGCATCCCAGTGAAGTGCACCATGCCACATCTCTGTGTTTCCACTTCTGGTATTTTATTGACTGGTATCTGTTCCTTGCCGGAGGGCTCCTCAGTGGTCAGTGATGTCTTGAGCTGACTGGAGTCTGTTCTTCCAGACACCAGCAGCATCAGACATCCCTCAGCAGCCACAAGGGGCTCACAGGGTGGCAACAGCATTCTCCAGCTCTGGCTGTGGCCCGAGGCCATTCCATAGCATTGGCAGAGGTGGTTACGTTTTCATCCCCCCAGACAAAAGTGCTTGCAGCCTCAATAGGAATGATTGAGCATTTATCTTTTATTGCATTGGCATACTGGATGCTTTGTGCAGAATTGCTGGCATGTAACTCTCTCCTTTAGCCTGTGAAAGAAACTGCTGTTGCTTTAGGATATTGTAGATGGGAGTCAGGGCTGTCCAGGCACGTTTCTTCTGCCTCAGTCCTAACTGCCTGCCAATCCCAAATACCACAAAATACAACACAGTATGGATATAGTTCTAGGTAAATTGCATTCATAAGCAGTTTCCCCCAGGAAAAATTATTCTTACCTTAAATTTCTATGTAATTTCCCAAGTAATAAATGGAAAAATAATGACCCACATAGAATCAACTTTAGGTGATTCCCTGTGACCACCAAGGTCATTCAGTGAATGAAGCTTTGTGGAATGTGTAGCATGTTAGTATGTCTGAGCTATGATCAGAGGGGCTCATTTGTATGTATCTAATGAATGTATGGATTTAATTTATGAATTTGTGCAGCACCTTTTTATTAAGGAAATGCCAGCGGTAGGCCATGACAGGTTCCTCATGCAGTGTAAGTCCTGCTTTCTTTACATGACCTTGCTAGGAATAAAGGAAAAATAGTTGGAAAGGAGCTTGTTATTTTGGCAAAGGCAGTTTTAATTACCACAATCACTCTTAGTGGTAGAAGCTGCCATTGTGAGATTTGTGTTAAGAGTAGTTGGGGGTGATTGGTAATTATCTGCCCAAAACTTGTCCAGCACAGTGGTCTGTGATGCCAGGTTTTGCAGGGAGAGGTCTCTTAGAGGTGATTATGGACCATGGCTGGTGCAGCAGCACCTGTGAGCTGATTTTGGCTGAAAGGCATCAGTGGGTGAGGGAAAAAATAACAGCTCAGTCTTTGCCCCAGGCCATGGGAGTATGATCTGTACATCTCTCCTGGGACTCTGCAGCAATGTTCCATCCTCTGGATAGCTTCCAAAACTGCCGCTGAATAAGGTATTATTTCTGATATGTGCAATGTAATATAAACTTTCAGAAAAAGAAAAAATGAGGGAACTTTAATCTAATGAAGACCCATTGTGTATTGGTAGAAAGTTCTTGTCAAGCACTGATTCATTTTTCTTTTTAAGTCTCAGCCAACTTAATTTGACTATTTGAGATTCTTCTGCCATCTTCATTACTCTTTATGAAGCAGATAGTGGGGCAGCAGTGTGCTGCACAGGACAGTGCTCTTACTATTTTTTATATCACCTGCTTGTGACAGCTGAGGCTGAGACAAGTCAGTGTTTCACTTCTCTGGTATTCCATCAGCTGTGAATTTGCAGTAGGGTGAAAAACACCAAACTGGCGTGGAACTGCTGCTTCCTCTGATGCTGTTAGGGAATAGGGAAAGGATTACTGTCCGCTTTGCAAATGAGCTTTGTACTTAAACTAATGTTAAAGTATTTTAGCTTCTGTGTTCTTATGGATCTCTGAACTGCATTCAACATTTCATAGGGTTGCTGTGTAGCTTTAGATTCTCTCATAGGGTAACTTCATCAGGCTAAATTAGTTAGAAAGGGAACAGAAACTGGCTAACAGGGCATGTCAAGCTCTAAGAGAAAACATACAAGATTCAGTAATTAGAAGCTTTGTAAATTCATAATGCAATTAAGTCTCTTCACAGGAAAGAAATAATTCAGGCTTAGGCTTTAGTAGAGTTATTGAAACTACAAACTGAAGGGCAGCTGCATTAGCAGGAGATGGTCTAATTCAAACAGGAACTCAAGTGGCAGGACCTGAAAAATCTGGCTTAGGGGTAGATCAGGCCGGGTATTTTTTTTTGTCCCTGACACTACAGGTGCTACAGTTTCAGTTCTCTAAGCCTTCAGCTCTAGCTTTGTAGTACTCCCTGTGACTGTAGTTGATGTAACTGTGAACGCTCTGCACATAAAGTTTATATCCCATAAATACATGTTGAAATTTTGGAGTTTCAGTCTTCATTTTGATGCACTTTTTGTCTTTAAAATTTAAAAAAAAAAATCTTTCTAATATCTCATTTCATAATCTGTCTGTCAAATAAAGGCAATTGGTTGGCTTTCTTTTTTGTCAGGTGAAAAAACACAGCTTTTTCTTGTGTGCATCTGAAAATAATTTAGATGTGGGAATCCATTTTCTTGAAGACTGAGAATCATTTTCAACATCATTCTACATTCAGGGCACTGCCTTTTCCTCCCCCTACTCTATGAAAATTAAAGTGTGTATCTCCTTAAGGGCCTGTGAAAAAGAAACAAAATAGGCCTTGACCTTGCAGAGCTGGCAAATTAAAATTTTTTGATTGAAGAGGATAATTAGTATATTGCATAGCCTGAAAGTAATCCCTTGTTTGTGCAGGTGTGGTCAGTGTAAACAGTAAGTGGCTTTGCTTTGCTCATGTTGTAATTGGGCCTCCAAGTTCACAAGCGTTGGTTAGTGAGCCATGGATCATCTGGACAGCTTTACCTTAGTAACTGCAAGGTTGGCATCTTCTTGCATGGCTGTTGAAAGTTCATGTTGGAACTTTTTTCCATTAGTGTGGTGATTTGTAGCTGGTTGCACAGAGGGGAGTCTGTGTTGTAGTTCCAAACTGAGTGGTTTTCCAGCCCTTTGTCAGGAGTGTGGCAGCCTCCAGCCGTGCCATGGACAGGAGCAAACAAGAGCGAACAGTGTTTGTCTGCATTTCTCCACGGTGCTTGCTAAGAAATGCCTTGGGATGGGGGAGGCACAAGCAGACCTTAAATACTAATTCTTTATCGAAAGGTATCCAATTAGTACTCTCAAGTGTAGGGCCCCTCCCGAATTTAGAAGCCTAAAGCCACCCTGATTGTTCCTTCACACTAGTGATTCTATGAGGAGATTGTATTTGTGAGAGGGAGGTGTGATCTAAAATCTATGTGGGTAGGATGATAAGCCAAATCATGCAGCCCCACTTCTCTTGTGCTGGAACCATCTGTTTTGCCTTTGCAGACTTTGAACAGGAGAATGACTGAGCTTTCTGATTTTTTGTAAATGGGAATGGAAATGGCAACAGGTCAATTAAACAGTTTGAAATTCTAGGCTAATGAACATTTAGCTTTTTTACTAGGGCAGGGAGGAACAGACCAGGGAACTCAGAATACTTAACAGCTTTAGCAGGTATGCCTGTGCAAGGGAAGAAGTGGACTATTTCCACAGGAAGTAGAAGAGGTGGTTTCAACTTCCCATCTGTAAAAAAGGCATTTGTTGGACCTGCATCTGGTTGTGTCACATGTCTCTCAAAATTTATCACGTGGGAAGGACAAATGACCACATAATGAAGTATGAGACCTTGAGCAGGGAAATGTTCATGGACTTGGTTTCAACTTCCCACATATTTGTAGACAACCCTCTCTAAATAAAATAGATTTCATCCTCCCCCAACCTTTGGCTCATGGAAGACTGTTAAGTTTCATTATACTGTAAGAAACTAATAATTATTAGTTAATAATAATTAACTATTGGATATAGCAAGATCTTATAGTTCTACATTCACATTTTCCAACTACTGCTGCATTCCTTTTCTGCATTGAAAATGTGGCCTAAAACACTAACAGATGTGGCACATTTTCTGTTAGTGAGGAAGTCACTGATTTTGCTATTTTTAGCATGTTAGAAGGCTGTTCTAATACAATACTTTTAGTCCCCAGTATTAAAAACAAGAGCATGAAGGGTTAATGAGCATACAGGAGGCAGAGTGTAATGGCAGTTTACAGAAATTGCCTCCACCCAAAAATGCAGCATTTTCAGTCTTTCAAATGCAGCATGAGACATTTAATTGCATCTCTTTTATTTCAAATGCAGGATAATTCCCTGAGTAAAAGCAGTTTTTTACTTAAATAAAATTTTTCTAGAACTTAATCATGTGGAACAAGTTCACACAGCTGATAGTGAGCTGGAGATGACACATTCTTTGGCCCAGGGTAGTGGTCTGGCAGGAGCTCTTGGGCTGTTCATTTCCAAAGCTTCACCCTGTACTGTCAGCAGCCTCTTTCAGCACTGCTGTCTCCCCCACCTGTGCATCTCCTCTCTGATTGATGTCTGCGGTTTGAATTCCTCTTTGACTGTGCTGCCATGAAAGAGATTTTTCATACTTGGTCTTAAAAAGTAATCCATGACCTGAAAAAGCAAAAGGGGAAAAAAACTCCAAAATCCTGAAATGAGATTACTACAGTGCTAAACAGAATACCCCATTCATTATAAAGAATGGGTCTTTACAGACTGGAAAGTACATCCCAAGGCTTTGGAAGCAGGAGCAATAACGTACAAACAAGGTAGAGCAGTCTTTTAAAATGGTACTATAAACTATAGCATGTGGCGTTTTAGGTAGTATGTAGATTTTAACACTCACCTCCACCCCATAACCCAAAAATTAATGAATATACATGGGAGATGGATGAGATGTTTGCTTGATCCTTGGTAAGGCCAGATACACTTACCTGGACAATCTGCTACCTCCTTGAATGCTCTTTTCTTACAGCACCCTCGGCACATATTAAACACACATTTATTGCCCTGGGTTGGGACAGCAGTATAAAGAAACTTGTGTCAGTGAAAATAAAATTATTACTGTGTACTATAATAAGTAACAATACAGCTCTGCACTTTCAGATCTTTGGAAAAAAAACCCCATGTACTCAGCCTAATGAAGATGATGGAGTTGGTGTCATACTGGGGGCTATCCACTGTTTGCACATAAAGAACAGTAAAACCCCAACCAATCAAAAAAATATCCACATTCAACTTGTGCGGCCCCCTCACAGCCTGGTGGGCAGCCCAGGTTACCCACCACAAGCAGGCACATGCCATAAGCCCTCTGCAACAAGCATGAACTCATTTGGTGCTGGTGTGCTTGATCTCGTTCTCTGCAATATGGAACACGATGCCTGATGTGCTACCATCTGCTAAAATATGTTACCACCAGAATTACTTCCCTACTTGCATCTTAAAATATACCTTTTATTTATTAAAATATAATGTATGACCCTTAGGGGACAGCAGCAGCTGAGACTTGGCTAACTGATGATGTGGCTATATGAGCCTGGGTCTCTGGGATGCTTTGCTCACACACATTTTAGAAAAGGGGGTTGATGTTTAGTTTGGTTCCCTCCACCCCAGTCAGAAAATCCTTCATGTTTAGGGAGACTTTAGTTGAGTTCCTTCTCCACATCCCCCACCCCGCCACCCCATTTCATGACATAGCTCAGAAATTCATAATCTAGAAAAAAGAAAAAATTGCAGGCCTAGTCAGAAGATTTCAAGTGCTACCTGCAACATTACAGGGATGCAAGAGCAAAACAAAAATAAATCTAAGCCTTGGTGCAGACAATCCTGGTTTATGCACCAAGTGATGTCACCTGGATTACCTATGAAACAGGACAGCTCTGAAAGTAGGCCAGCCCAGTGCTTAATGCTTTACCAGTAATGAACACAGAAAAAAAATCCCATTTTTTTCGGTAGCTGCAACTTTGAGTCCCAGCTGGCTGCCCCTGCTGTGCTGTGGTAAGTGTTACAACAGGAAGCAACATCACATGCTTGTATTGCAGGCTGCCCCCTGAGGTCTAATGCAAATTTTTAAGCTAGAACACAAAATTACTTGCATTTTACACCCTGCTTTACAGGTATATTTGCAGCAATAAATACACTCAGGTCACACAGCTCTGCAACACTGCCCTGTCAAGCAAACAGCTGTGCTCCCCAAGGGGAAAAATAAACAAGCAAAAGCAAAATTAATCTTTTGCAAATATCAAAATACTTGGAATTTCAATACAGAACCTGTAAAACCAGCTGCCTCATTTCACATTGCTAATAGTGAAAGCCAATGTTAATCTGCTGCAAAGGCAGAACTGAGGATGAGGTGCTTATGCTTGTTTTGATAAAGGCAGAGATCCAAACACAATGCAAATCAGAGCTGCAGTTGCTGTCTGACACTCACTGCAGCCTGTACTGGGATGAAGTTTTTATATTTGAATATATATTTATATTTGAAGTATTTATATTGGTATACTAAGAACCACACCAGTTATTCAAATTTTCACTTTGCAAAAAAACTCCACCCACCACTAACCATAAGTTTGTTTTTCATTTCACAGTAAAATACGTTATGTCATACACATGTGGAAGTCTGGAGATTTGCTTGGAGATTATCTGGAGATAGTTTGGGAAATTCAGTTAAACTCATTCAACTGTATTAGCAATCAATACCCTCAGCAACAGCAGGACTGCACTTTTTTTTTTTGCAAGGCAAATTCTCTCAACATGTGTATGTTAAGGATTTCTGTGCAGCACCTTCAACCTCAGAGACTGGTCACAATGGTTAAAAAGCTTTTGCCCAAGTATGGACTTTCCTCCCCACACACACATACACTTGTGCCTGATGGGGCACTGGCATGGACCTACCTCAGGATTTGGAATAACAATAGAATCACAGAATAATTTGGGTTGGAATGAGCCTTTAGAGGTCATCTACTCTAACACCCTGCAAAAAGCAGGGACATTTTCCACTAGATCAGGTTGCTCAGAGCCCTGTCCAACCTGACCTTGAATGTTTCCCGGAATGGGGCATCCATAACCTTTCTGGGAAACTTGGGCCACTGGCTCAATAAAACATCACTTTTAATCTAACACATATCTAGTCTTGATCTACACTCTTTTACTTTAAACCCAGCACCCCTTGTCCTGCTGCAACAGGCTGTGCTAAAACGTCCATTGCTCTTTCTTTTAAGTCCCCTTTAGGCACTGGGAGGGGCAGTGAGGCTCCCCAGAGCCTTCTCCAGGTTCAACACCGCCTGGTCCCTCAGCCTGTCTCCATGGCGGAGGGAATCCATCCCTCAATCATCTTTGTAGTCTCCTCTGGGCCTACCTCAACAGCTCTACATGTCTCCAGCATCAAGGGCCCCAGAGCTGGATGCAGGACACCAGGTAGGGGGTCTCACAAGAGCAGAGTAAAGACACTGGCTCAATAAATGCTGCTTTTGATGAAGCCTGGAACACAGGTACTTTCCAGCCTGTGAGTGCACATTGCTGAATCATGACCAGCCTCTCATCCACCAGCACCCTGAAGTCCTGGGCTGCTCTCAATCTGTTCATCCCCCCCCAGCCCAGATTTGGTACCATGGTTGCCCTGACTCAAGTGCAGAATCTTGCAGAGGTTCCCACAGGCCACTGCTTGAGCTTGTCCAGGTTGCTCTGGATGGCCCTGTCCCTCAGGTATGTCATCATTCCACTCAGCTTGGTGTCATCTGCAAATGTGCTGAGGACACTCTTGATCCCACTGTCCACATCATTGATGGAGACACTGAACAGTGCTGGTCTCAATACAGACCCCTGAGGGACACCACTTGCCACTTCGCTCCATCCAGACATTGTGCGATTGATCCCTACACGGTCATTTAATGTCCATTTAATGGAAATGCTCTATGGACACTCTTTGGACACCTGAACTGACTTACCTTAGGGTTTCCACATTGATCACATTTTGCATATTTGGCTGAGAGAGAGAGAGAGACAGAGAAAGCTGATTTCACTAATGGTATTTTTATGTGGAAGAAATAAGTTAAAAAAATCAGAACCAGACAAAGCTTGGTGCTTTTCTAGCCAGAGAGTCTTTTTGAAATAAAAATACAGTACCTCAAATAACAGTGCTAAGGTAAAAATACTTTGCATTTTTAAGTGCCTCTATGCTAAAATCCAAGCATTGAAAATTTTAATCCTCAAGTCAAGCATAAAACTGGAGGACATCTGTCACTAAAGGACATGGAATGATTCACATGAACACATCTCAGTAGTGTGACAGGAAAAGAAAATACTTTTATTTTCTAACTCCAGTATTTACAGATTCTTGACTATGACCAGGGATTGGATAACTAAGTTACCACCTTCCCAATCACACTGGTCATGTGAAACATCCATCAAAGACGTTTCTTAGAAGGAATGTGTAAACACGTGTTTACAGTTACTTTCCTGGGAAAGTAACTAATACTATGAAAACAAGATCAGAAGGCTTAATTTTCAGGGCAACAGACATCAGCTTGAAATTCATACAAAATTTCCATTTCAAATGCTAGCGACAGCTACAATTCAGTTTGTAAACCATTTTGATCTCAAAAAGATGCTTAGAGAGATATTTTGATCCTTGTTTCCTTTACTAGTGAACATGATTTAAATCATGTTGCCTGGTACGGAAATTTCAATAGCAAAAATTCCCCCTCTTTTTCAAGAAGTTTCTAAAAGTACACAGGACAGGAAAATTCTTAGCAGCAAGTTATGTCAAAGGTGGTATCAGCAACTCTCCATATATTCATGCCAATACATGGAACTTACGTTTTAAAGATGGATCAAAGCTTTTATTAGGATTTCTTAACTTCTTTTTTTGTTTATTCTTTGACAGAAGCTCAGAATTTCCATCTTCCTCTTCTTCCAGAGCACGTTTCCCTCGCACACCTTTTTCAGTTCCACTATCTCCATTCTCCCTACATCTCTCCTTTGGCCTGAAACAGTGAATTTCATAATAAATTGGCTGGAGGGAAGAAGTAGCTGTCCCTGACCATTATTTTGGTTTACAGAAATATGGGTAAACCATAAACCTTTCTGTCATGGCTACAATGAAGTGTCATTGCCCTTAGAAGTGGGATAGAAAAAACTGGCTTTTTCAGTTAACACTGGCAGTGAACAGACACACTATCAGATATATCAGCTGGAAAGCCAGTTAAAGTTGGTTGGCTAAATTTCGCACCTGTTATTCCCAGGTTTTACTTAAGCATTTTTAAAAGTATTTAATTAAGTATTAATCTTGACACACTGTTCTCTTCTTCAGCCCAATTTTCAGTAGAAGGGGAATAAGCTATCTGAAAAGCTTGTCCGTACATTAAAAGCATCCTTTTCAGAATATAATTTAGTTCTTATCTTTGTTACGACAGCAGTTACCAGCAACATTCATGTTGCATGAAACAATAAAGAAGTGTCAGGTAGCATATTCGATACACATCAGGTTCTTGTTCTGAGCTGCAGTGGGATTCCTCATTTTTACTTTCCAGAGAGAGAGAAATTTGAGTAGGATACAAAGGAGAAGATGCAAACAATGAGCAACATCCCCACAAACAAAGCAATAACTAGGAAAAAACTGAACTGGAATAAAAATAATCCAAAGTCTTAATTTTTTTTTTTTTTTTAATGAATGTAGAGCTCCTAGAACAGACTCAATGGCTGATATTGACGATATGGGTGGGAAAGGCCTATGAGTACCTCTAAGTATCAAAACAGGTAACTTACCCTGGCCTGATGTATGGCTGACAGATCCAGTGGAAAAAAGGCAACCCTTCTTTTGGTTTTTCTCCTTCTTTCTGATTAGCTATTTCTTCCTGCAGCATAGAGTTACAGTCAGTCTTTCTGGAGTTGTCAGAAAATACACTAAATAACACTCAAACTCCAGGCAATCACAAACTGAATTTAAGCTAACAATTACAATTACATATAGGCAAAACCCATCTACTGCAACAGATGAACTGAAGCACATTTGTAACTCCTAAATCAACTTTATCCCACATAAAGTTATCCAGGCTTAAGGGGATGCTACTGTAGCAAGCTACAAATATCATGGTTAGTAAACTACAAAGTCTCATAGAAGTGACTAAAGGATGTCAGCTCTATGACATACTTGGTACATTCCCACCAAGAGCAGGCAGTGCTGTTCTGGGAGATTAGGGCCCATCTTGGTACCTGGCATCGTAGTTTCAGCTCCCTGTTGACATCTACGATGCCTTCTAGAGTCTTCACTTTTGCTAATTCTTCACGCAGCTGCTGGTAAACTTGAAGCCTGAGGCAAATCCCAAACATCAAATTATATTTAGACTGAAATCAACTAAAAATTAAAAAATACTATTTTTGATTAATTTGCCTTTAGTAGAAGCTTATGTTCTTCTTCATAAGTCCAAAGAAAAGCACACATATTTCTCTTCCAGACAACCAAGGTAGTCTGACATAAGCGAACCATGAATGTACAGTGCATCAGCTGCTTCTCAGTAACTGCCCATAGCCATGCTCTTACTCCACAATAAATGCAACAGCACTTTGCCACACATGAACAAGGAGATAGTTAATTTGTGTTTGCCACAAAGTGTGTGTGTGTGTGCATATGGGCAATTACCACATTGCATCTGGTGTGCTGTGAGCTCACAACCCTGGCTGATCTTGTGGCAACTTGTTCATTCCCCATGCCCTATTTCCCAGATGTGAAAGGAAGGGTAAAGGCCTCAGTCCACACCCTTCTCCAGCCAGGAAAAGCAAAGAAAACCTTGCAGCACACTCATTCTGGCCAAACAAATCCTTTTCCAGAAAACCCAAATTCTTGCTAAGCAGGATGAGCCCTGAAAAAATTAAGAGTTCCCTGGAGGTACTCACGTGTGATGCCAGAGCTTGAAGAGATGTGCCCTAACGTAAGACAATGGACAAGGGTACTTCCGCACTATCTCCAGATACTCCTCAGCCATCTCCCACACCAATGGGTTTCGGCCCTCAAACAAAGCTGGGTTATGAAGATTACCTTCTAGGGAATGAAAAGAAATACTCAAACTTTCATTTCAGGATTGAAACAAAAAAATCTCTGCTCTGGAGTTTCATCACCTCTTTTGTAATCCTACCGCCACAGCCACAGCACCTCAAGAACAACACAGGGTCTGTAAAACTCTAGCCTGACCTTGACATGCTGTACTTCACTATACAGTTCCTAATTACACTGAACAGCTCATGTTTAATTAAAGTACAGTTTCTAGAAAGGCGTCTAACCTTAACACAAAGACAGTAAATCAATTAATAAATAGAGAAATCACTGCTTTTGTTGCCCAACGGTTAAATACCGGAATGACCGGTGTCTTGCCTTATGTCTTGATATTTGTCTGGCCCGAGTTCAGAGATACAGCTTCTCACTGTGCTTTTCTCTACTGGCTTCACAAGCCTTTTGTTAATCAGTATTTTCTACAACCAAGATTCTACAACCCTTCTTTAGCTGTGTGTGTGATTAGAAGCTGTTTCTGATGCCTATCCTAGCTCCTCCTGTAAGTTATGGAAATTATGTCAATTCTTTCTTGTCCCAACCCAACATGAACCACCTGTAGGAATATTAATCCACAGATGTACTTAGTTAATTGAGAACCATTTAAAAACTGTTCCATTAATTAACAGATGTCACAAAAATATTCCAGGACAACAGGAGCCCCATATGCCTTTGTCAAGTAATTAGATTTAAGCTCAATGAGTCAATGGTATTACAAGTCCGACATAACAATTCTTACAAATCTTAAGTGATTCCTGGTCCTGGTATGAGATGGTCAGTAGCAGACGAGAGAGAATGGCCACTCAGCTCTCAAGTAAAGCTGTTCACCAAGTCAATCTGACATAAGTTTTTAATAAATGTATATGGGGCTGCTAAGGGAATAAGAAACAATTCGTATTTTCATCCAAGTAAAAGTTCATTTTACCTGCACTCATGACGCCATGTACTCCTGTCTTACGTATGCATTCTTCCACATCGCTGAGACACTGGATGTTTCCATTTGCAAATACAGGAATGTTTACAGCTTTTCTATACCAGTGAATAAAATGGACGTGTAAAATTGAGAATTAGAGTCAACCCAGAAATTCTCCTGTAACACAAATTTGTTTCCTCTTCAATGCCATTGTACACTCTGTTTAAAATCCAGAGTGTTAACAGGAATCCACTAAGACTGCCTGGTACTTCTCACTAACCTTACAGCTTGAATGTGCTCCCAAGATGCCACGCCAGCAAGTGGTCCTTTCTGTTCTTTAGTACGGCCATGCACAGTCAGCAGCTGGAACACAAAATTACATCTACTTTCCGCATGCATGAATAAATCCACTGAAAAAAATTTCCTTTCACTCCCTCCCCCTCATGGATGCTACTGAGCTCTTCCTGCTATTTCAACAGTGCAGGGAGTTTAGCAACACAGAAAGATATCAGCAGGTCACCTACTGTGGCATGGTCTTAGGCTCCTTTCATCTTCCTATTCCATGGCATGACAAGATTCTATAATGGGAAAACCTACAGATTTCCTTTTGCCACTGTATTCCATTTGTGATTCACTCTGGAATTTGTGATATATTGATCTAGCTTTCTCCTCAGCAGAAGGTCCAATACTGTCAGTACTGTCTCTAACCACAGACCATCTCTTCCAATTTAATTGGAGTTAAATCCTAGAAAGCTGCCTGTTTCTTCTAGTGATACCTTTTGATACCCTTTTTCTTCTACAGTACGGTGGATTTCATGCATTCACACTGCCTCCTGCAGCATTATGTGAAGACTGAGATGCACACAGTGCAGTGATTACAAAAGACTGAAATCATTGTGTCTTCTGTACCACACTAATGACACGCAGCCTAGGACTGCAAACACACAGAATCTGTCTGCATCCCATTTGCTCTGTCTGCAAAATAATGCAGCCTATTCATCTCCACGGTACATCAAGAACTGGTCATCACATACTTTACACAAAGACATGTGTCCCGTGCAAGAGTAGAGGGACCAGCTGCCTTCTTACCTGGCAGCCAGCTTTCTCCAGCATCTGTGCATACTTCACTGTCTTGTCAATGTCTGGGAAAACGCGGATTTTGCATGTGATGGGAACAGAGAGCTTCTCGTTAGCCAGTAAAACTGAGAAAGATTGAAAAGAGAGGTAAGTGGGCTGCACAATGCTATGTAAAGTGTCTGCTCTCCTCAAGATTTGATACTGGGTATGGTATAGAAAAAGAATGAGAAGTTACTGCTATGCAGTTCTCACAGCTTAAAAATCAGCAGTGTCCTCTAGAATCCTTATTGCATAGTTTAATCATGTAACAGTAACACAGGCATGAAGCACAAAATCTGCATCCCAACAAGGTGGCATAAAATAGTCACCCATTTAATAGCCCTAACACTTTCACTGCATTAATCCTTCACTTTCAATGACCACCCCCTCATGAATTAATTATTGATACAAGTTTATTATCATCACAGGCTATTGTACTCCTCCAACATTAACGCTTGTCTACCTTTCCCACAAAAAGGTGCTTCACTTCTTTGCAAATTATCACCAAAATAATCATTATAGAGTAGAGTCTTATCCATGGCAAGCAGAGGCATATCAAGTGAGGTAGACAGTGGATGCAATCAAGTAGTAAATGTAGGTTATAGAGCCAGGGTGAAATCTAGAACAACATGGAAAACTCATAGTCCTTACACAGTACATAGAATCACAAAAATACCAAAAAGAGAGCTACCAAAGAGAGCCAACAGGAAAACATTGAGTAATGTTGTATCTGAAATTCTCTTCTCTTCCACAGCTTGGATATACAATGTAGAAAGTCACCTGCTGTCTTCTAATCCAAATCCTACGAGCTCTAACAATAGGTACTTCCCATCACACTTTCAAAGAACTAAACAAGGTGTATACAGGTGCAAGCAGAAAAGAGTGCTCCACCATTTTAAAGGTGGCTAGGGAAAGAAGGAGGAAGAGGACAGTCTAAGACAACCCTCTTAGAAGACAGCCTGGGTTCTCACCCAACTAGATGACCTTGAGGCTATTCTGATCTGCATATTTCTCAACAGACACATTACATGCTGGGCATGTAACACTGTCTTATCTTCCAGGTTCCCAGCAGTGTTTTTGTACCACACATCATTCAAGATCCCCCAGACCACCAGGAATGCAAACAGAAATAAGACTCTCTAACTTCATGGTTCCAACATTTGCTTTGAAGTGGGGTGAAAGCACATTCTTAGTTCTACAAAATGTCCAAAACCTTGCTTTTGGTATCAGTATTTCATGTATATCATGTATTTCTTAAAAAATATGATACTGTTCACAACAGCTACTGATGGTCTGAAAATAACCTACACAAATTAGAAGAAAAACATATTTTGCCATACTGTGGACAGAAAGGGTACACAGAGTTGATTAGAAAAGAGCAGCTGTGACTTCAAGCAGAAACATGGCTCTGGGCACCTGAGAAATTCAAAGTGAGAAACTGAGGCACTGGGACTTTTATGATTTCTAGAGCTGGAGAGCAACTAAGCTATCATATGAGACTGGAACTTCATTGACTTTCACTTTAAGTCTGTTTCAGGTACAAAAGTCTAAGTCTTTTTGTAGATGGAGTGCAAATTTGCAGTGGGATACCACCAAATATCTTGAGGATGCCACTGGAATACAGTATGAAATTGAAAAAAGAACAAAACAAAAACACAAAACAAACCAAAAACCAACAAAGGCAACCACCACTTCAAAACCCAAAGAGAACTCTGCCCCAAAAAATATGACGCACCTCCTTTCCCCCAAAATCCCTAAACCTCCTCTCAATAATTAGTTCATCCTATTCCTTCTCTAAATACTTACTCATTCTCTGAAGAAGATCCCACTCCTCTTGCAGAAATGCTCCATAGTGACCTATGATAAAATAGCATATGACAGACTTGTGTAGAAGAGTAAGATCCTGAAGCACAGTTTTCATAAACTCTCACAAACAAAGATCCAGACACTCATATGCCTCATTGGCAGAAACAGAGTTGCTCTGTCCTGCCCCAACTGGAAGAGTAGGATCATTCTGTTCTTCCTGCCACCCTAGATTTACAGGATAAACAAGGAATCCCCACACCTTTTTTTTATTTTTACTTTTTACTGATACTGTCCAAGGCTGATGTGTTGACACTTGCAGCTCAAAGTCCAAATTCTAAGGGTTTATACCTGATGTTTAATAAATCCCATTAGAGTAACAGATGATCTGACTGAAACATCTATTTGCACTACTAATTATTTCCAATTAGTTTTTGAAAGATATTTTAGAAGAAGAATGGGCAGTTACTGAACAAATATCTTCTCAACACCTTAACTGATACAAAATTTTCAAACACTCGTTCTGGTTTTCAAACATGCAGTATCTAAGGAATTCAGCAGGTGTCATCTGCTTCTACACTATTGTGAAAAAAACTCTGCAAGTATCAGGGAAATAGGAAGTTCTAAGTGTCTGAATGATGTAATTTTCAGTGAAGTTTTTCAAAAAGGGCTGCTGGAGCAAAAATCAGGAAGAAAATCAAGCTCTCACTAAAAATAATGCTTCTGAAGACATTCTAGGCACAGGAGCTGTCACTTTAGATAAATTAATTAATTAAGAATGAATTATATCTAACTTTTGCTTTAGGTACTATCAAGTGTTACCTGCTACACTGGGTGTAACTGACTTCAGCAGTACTGCAACCCCTCCCAAAGGCTTGATTTGGCCCTCTTGGTATTTTACTGCCAACATTCACATTTGAAACACCATTTGCCATTTCTCTGCTTATCCAGGATTCAGATTTGCACATACCTCTCTTTGCAATCATTTGGGGGCAACCCAAATTTAGGTCTATGGCATCACAGTAATCCTGAGCCAACAGTGCTGCTTGGACAAACACTTCAGGATCATTGGCACAGAACTGTGAAAACCAAAGAGAAGTGGAATAATCAGGCAATAGCTTTCTTCAAGTACTGACAAAATGTGTTTATGAAGCAACTACCTGCTACAGAAAACAGGCACGTATGCACAGTTCATAATATCAAACACTATTTCTCAAAATGATCAAGGGAAGCGATGTAATGTGATCTTTTTGGATTTGAGTAAAGCATTTTATACTGTTTCTCACAGGATGGTTTTGGACAAAATATCCAGTCCGCAGCTGGATAAACACATTGAGTGATGGGTGAACAACTGGCTCATGAGTCAAGTGCAAAGGGTTATAGTGACTAGGATGACATTAGGCTGGTGACCGGTCATGACTAGGGTTCCACAGAGCTCCATCTTAGATGAAGCCAGAGCTCTTTAATGACTTCATAAATGACTTGTAACCTTGCTGACACTTGTAACCTTGCTGAGGATACTAAATTGGGAGGAGCTGTCCACTCCTTGGGAGGCACAGAGGCCCTGCAGAGGGACTTTGACAATCAGAGGGCTAGGCAAGCATCAACCATATGAATTTAATAGAGACAAGCAGCCTATTCTGAACCTGGGATAGGGTGACTCCACATATACGGACAAACAGGGGAACAAAAGGCTGGAGAACAGTGCTGCAGAAAGGAATCTGGGGGTCCTGGTTGATGGCAAGTTGAATATGAGTCAGCAGTCCCCTGGCAGCCAGGAAGGCCAGCTGTATCCCAGGGGGCATCAGGTCCAGCATCGCCAGCTGGGCCAGGGAAGGGATTGTCTTGCTCTGCTCTGCACTGGGGCTGCATCACCTTGAGTCCTGGGGACAGTTTGGGATACCACAATGTAAGAAAGATCCAAAGCTATTAGTGTCCAAAGTAGCTAACAAAGATAGTGAAAGATGTGGAGGGAACATATGAGGAGTGGCTGAAGTCACTTGGCTTGTTCAGCCTAGAGAAGAGGAGACAGAGGGGAGATTCCATACAGTATAACCTCCTCTCAAGGGGTAGAAGAGGGACAGCTCTGATCTCTACTCTCTGTGACCAATGACAGGACCTGAGGGAACGTCTGGGGCTGTGTCAGGAGAGGTTTCGGCTGGATATCAGGAAAAGATTCTTCCTCAGAGGGTGGTCAGGCACTGAAACAGGCTCTCAAGGGCTGTGGTCACAGTCCTAAACCTGCCAGAGCTCAAGGAGTGTTTGGACAACACTGGTGGGATGCTGGTGGCTGTTCTGTGCAAGAGCTGGACTTTGTGAATCCCTTACAACTGAGGATATTCTATGATTATACGAAAAAAACCCTCCAAATAAAATTTATGACACTTACCAGCTAAAGATCCTCAACCTTCAAATAATAAAATGAGAAAGATGAGCATTCAAGAGGCAAAGAAATATCAGATGAATATTTTACATGTGGTAGCCAAGAATAAGTGGAAACAACTTTTAACATCCTCTGCAAAAGAAACAGCTATAGCATTTTAATACAGAAAGAAAAATTTCTTTCCCAGAGGTGACTGAAACTACGGAAAGTCTCCAACCATGCTGCATAATGAGAAAGTTACCACAGTAAACAAAGTCTTCAGAGCTGACTCATATGTACCTCTGCCTAATCTAATTTTGAGACTCTGTGACCAAATCTGTAAGGACTGCTGCACAAGATCAAGCCAAAGATTAGTTACTCCTGTACTTTATGTCCAACAGTGGCCAGTGGGAAGAAGGGTAACACAGCAAGCTCACAGCAACTGATCCTGTTCAGGCAGAGTCACCCAGAACACACAGCTTACTGAGCTGAAGATCTGTGACTTACAGCTTTCTAAGATTATTTGAGTTTCTGGCACTTGTATTTTTCTGTGTCAAAAGAAACTACCTCCCACAGAAGAAGAATGTACAAGATGCTGAGATTAGCTCATTCGGTTAGAGCATGGTGCTAAAACACCAAGGCTGTGAGTTCTATCCCTGTATAGGCAATTCACTTAAGAGTTGGACTCAATGTACTTGTGGGTTGTGGACTTGTGGGTCCCTTCCAACCCAGAATTTTCCATGATTCTGTGAAAGCTGTACTGAGACAGATCAAAGGTGAACACCAAAATGACTAGGGAACAGCAGAAGCTGAAAAAGTGTCCTTAAGGGCTTTGGAAGTGGAGGGTGTGTTTGTTGCACCTAAAGACCCTCAAGTGTTTTCCTTCATTTGCTTTCTAAACTCATGTAATCTTTCAGAATCCAGTATATCCCACAACAATGAATTCCACAGTTTATAACTACCATTATGCTTACTTGTTTCCCATTCATCACTTCAAGCCAGTAAAACTTCTACAGGCTTCTCGTATCATCCCCCCTCAGTCTAGGGAGACACTTCTTTACCAGGGTAAAGAGTCCTCATCCATTTAACTGCTCCACATGTGGAAATCCATCATTCCTCTGTTCATGACAACCGTATTTCCCTGTATCATTCTGCAGCTCCACAAACCACTTTACCTCTTTGGGACAGAGTGAAGTACATGAACATCAGAGAGTAATCCAGAAGCAGAAGCAACACATGCTTAAAAGTCTGTCCTATCTTCATTGCATCCTTTCTCTATAGCTAAACACTGAGCTCAGGGTTTCAGAGAACTACTCCAAAAATTGTGATCCTCCTTGACTAGTACCAGATCTGGGACACACCCTGACTCTACAAGACCAACTGTAATTTGTTTCCAAAGATGAGGTGCAGGGGACTGTGAGAAGTCCAGTGCTCCAGACCCCTGCGGTTAGGACAGCAAATCCTTTGCTAAACATGGGATAAACAGAAAAACACACATCTTCATGAGCTAAGTACTGCCAGTAGTATTTAGACGAAGAAAATGAGATTTCTCTTATCCTATATAACGACGTTAAAATGTGAATGAGGCTGACTACCTTCAATTCGTGCACATTTAGAAAACGCCTGGATTTGTTAGCACGAGCGGGGTGGATGGCGCGGGTGCGTTTGGCAATGCTGACTTGCGTCCTCAACGTTACCCAAGAACGGCACCGCAAGGTGAGCCCAGGGAAGCTCCTCCCGGCAGCCGCCGCCGCTCCCGGTGCTCGGGCTG